TTTTACTTTCTGTACCAGGAATCAAACTCAGGACTTTGTTCTTGCCAGACAAGCACTTGTGCCACTGAGCTATATTCCCAGCTCCATATTTTTTTCCAGCTCCATATTTTAATATTTAGATCTTTGATCCATTTTGATTTTAGTTTATTGCCTTGTGAGAGATGTGAGCCTAGGTTTAATGTTCAGTAAGTGGAAAGCCAGTTTTCCTAACACCATTCAGTAAAGAGGCTAACTTTTTTCCAGTGAACATGTTTGGCCCCTTCAAGGTGGCTGAGCGTGTTTGAAATTCCTGCATCTTTTCATGTTCCATTAATCCTCTAGTCTGTTTGGTTTGTTTATTTGTTTGTTTTGTCAGTATTATGCTGTTTTTTTTTATCATAATAGCTGTGTAGTAGTATAATTTCAAGTCAGAGATTGTGACCCCCTGCCTTATCTTGTTTGCCTAGAATTTTTTTGCTACTCTAGGTCTTTTTGGTTCCAAATGAATTTTAGAATTATTTTCTCTAGTTTTGTGAACTGTGCTTGTTGTATTTTTATTTGGGTTGAAATTTTTAATTGTAAAATTAAATGTGTATAACAGTTTTTGGAGTCTGGCCATTTTCACTATATTGGTTCTTATCTGTCTTAGTTAATTTTCTCTTATTGCTGAGACAAAATACCCAATGCCTAAACTTAAAGAAGGAAAGGTTTCTTTAGCTCACAGTTTGTGGAGGTTTCAGTCCATACTTGGTTGGCTCCAAGGCTGAGTGGCACATAGCAGAGGGTAACAGTTCATGTTGGCAAAAAACAGCAGAGAACAATAAGAGCAAAGAGCAAGGAATGTGACAAAAAGACTCTTTCTGTCCCTTATATTGTATTTAGGGTACCCAGCACTAGACAGTGAACCAATCACAAACTCTAGAAGCCAGCACCCATGACTGCATGAGACTATGGGGGACATCTAGACACAAGCCATGACACCATCCAAGACCAAGGGATATCTTTCCATTTTCTAATATCTTCTTTGATCTTCTTTTACAGAGTATTGTAGTTTTCAATGCAAATGTCTTCTATTTCCTTTGTTAAGATTGATTTATTTTATTTTAGGGGTTGTTATTGCAATAGGTTCTAATTTTTCTGCTCTAATTTTTCTCTCGGTTTATTTGTACACAGGAATTCTTTTCATTTTGGAATAGTTTGTATCCAGCTATGCACCTGAGTTTGCATATTAAATCTAGAAGTCTTTCGGTGGCATTTTTGGGGTCGTCTATGTAGAGTATCATGTCATATGCAAATAACAGTAATTTAACTTCTTCCTTTCCTATTCCCAATTTTTGTTTCTTTCTCTGTATTTTTATTTCTCTGCTATATTGAATAGGAATAGTGATAATGGACATCTTTGCCTTGTTCCTGATTTTAGAGTGAAACCTTGCAGGTTTTGACTATTTAGTATGATGTTGGCTGTTAGTTTGCTATAGGTAGCTTTTATCAGGTTGAGATAAAGACGATCTATTCCAGTTTTCTATAGGGTTCTTATCGTGAATGAGTGTTAGACTTTGTCAGATGCTTTTTCTGCATCTCTTGAGATGCTCATGTGGATTTTATCCTTTGCTCTGTTGATATCATGTATTTATATTTATTGATCTGCATATTTTGAACCACCCCTGCATTCCCTAGGAGGAGTCCTACTTGTTCATGGAATATAGTCTTGTTGATCATTTGCTGCATTCTGTCTGCAAGTATCTTGTTGAAGATTTTTGTATCTCTGTTCATTGGGGGATTGGTATATAGTTCTTTTATTTTGGCTGGACCCTTCTGTGCTTCTGGTGTCAGGGTGATGCTTGCTTCCAGGAATGACTTTGGGAGTATTGCTTCCCTTTCAACTTCATTAAAGAGTTTGAGAAGTAGTAACATTAGATCTCTGAATTTTTTGTAGAATTCAGCAGTGAATATATCAGGACTTTGACATTTCTTCAATAGTAGGTTTTTAATTACATTTTCAATTTCATTGACTAATATTAGGTTCTTTGGGATTTTTATATCTTCTTGGTTCAGGTACTTGCTTGGTAATTCATATGTATCTAGGAATCTGTCCGTTTCTTCTGTGTTTTTCATTTATTTGAGTATAGGTTCTAGTCACTGTGGGTAACTGGTTGATAGCAAATGAGGTATGAGCAGAGCAACATCTTTGCACAGTTCTGGCCCCAGAGGCAGTGCTCTGCACACTGTAGGAAGAAAGAGAGGCCCTAAGGATGGTGTCCTCCAAGGCCTTGGAAGAGGTCCCTTCAGAGAGAGTGATCACTGGGGACCCTCCTCACACTCCAGGTTTACAGTAGTGTGGGAGACGGACCAACACCTCTTCCTGCAGGACCATTAATTTAGGACTTCTCCTAGTCTGTTAGGTTGTAGGGAATGGCTCTTACCTGGCTTGCACTGAGACAACCATCATAAATTTACAAACCCTAGAGAACAGGAGCAAAAATGGGACTGGCCGTCTTTGCCATTGTCTCTCGGATTAAATTATGATGCCTTTCTATAAATCTGCTTAGCCACCCTCAGTAGCAGGTGAAAGTAGTGGTTTCATATAAATATAAAAAATAGGAAAAAAAATTTAAAAGCCTTTATCTTAGCCAGGCATGGTGGCACTTACATATAATCATGGCTACTCAGACTAAGGCAGGAAATCACAAGTTTGAGGCCAATTTGGAGAACTGAGCAAGATCCTATCTTGGATAGGTAGGTAGGTAGGAAGATAGACAGATAGACAGATAGACAGACAGGTAGACAGATAGACAGACAGACAGACAGACAGACAGACAGACAGACAGACAGAGGATATACAGAACAAACCAGGGGGTCTGGGTTGTTGCTCAGTGGTAAAGCATTCTCCCAGCATGTGCAAGGCTCTGAGTTCCATCCTCGGTACTGGAAAAACAAAATAAAACAAACAAAATATTTTCCTTTAAATAGCCCTAAGCTTTTTACTTACCTAGAGGGATTTTAATTATTCTTTTTCTAGTTTGACCTCATCCCAAAGAAGTCTGCCTCCACACTTTGACAACTGCCATAAAACCCAAGCCCATGAGGCCCTAGAGTATGTAAGTCTTCTATGGAAGAGGCTTGCAGAATTAAATGAGACCAGGGTCAAGTGATTGAAGTGGGAATTCTACCAAGATAAAATACTGCCCTGTGTGTGTGTGTGTGTGTGTGTGTGTGTGTGTGTGTGTGTGTGTGTTGCCACAGCACAATCCAGCAGGTGTGGGTCAGTGAAGTGCTTCCCTTGGGAGGATGTGGATATGGCCTTTGTAGGGAATGAGGAAGTTGGGGAAAAGTTCTGCCTTTGCTTTCCTTGCATGTCATAGGATAAGCACCTGTAGCCATCATTCAACACCTGGCAGCTGCTACACACTAGTGGTACCTTATCTGCAGGCCTAAATGTTGCTAGCAT